AAACAAACTAAATTTTAAACGAACCGAACACGAACACAAGCTTTGTTCGTTCGTGTTCGGTTCGTTCACACCCCTACCTCCAACAATACCTGCTAGTAGTGCCCTCATGAGTTCTGAATGGTGGATTTCCAGCATTCATCTGCATATATCTTTGGACTTTTTTTATTTATTGTAGATCATAAACATAATTTTAGACTTATTATTTTATTTGCACTCATTTTATTCTTGAATTATTACATTTGAGGAGAATGAGGTTTGTAGAGCTTAAAATCAATTTTGATTTTTCCTACAACCAACCAAATGATGATCCATGAATTTCACAACTTTCCATGTTTTCTAATTCGAAGAGAGCCAAATGTGCCCTACTAGAAATTGTCAGGATGCTATTACCCTTAAGGAGGTGCTACCTTGATTTAGGCTGTTACTAGCATTTGTATCATAAAGCCAATCACATAATTGCAAATTGGATTGGATTGATTATTTGATGAATACTTCAATACATGGATTTACATTTTTTTCAATATGCAGAACTTTGATTTATTTTCTTTCTAGCCAGATAAGGTATCTCTGTTAGCTCAAACATTAGAGACAGATCCTCGTCTTGTATTAGAGCAAATTGTCCCTTTCGCCCTCTTGATTGAACTTTAAAGAAATCTATTATTTAGAGTGACTTATTATGCGTTTTAATCTAATTAAATTAATTGTCGTAACAATCTATCTTTAAATTTTGATATTTTATTCACACGCACATACATCTGTAAAAATTCTGGTTTACTGGCTTTGATGCCACACAATTCTTATCTGTGTACACATCCAACATCTAAATTTTCATGTTTACATACAAAACATTCAAATCATTAACATTACATCAAAAATACCCACCATTACTAACATTTTAAAGGAGAAATACACATTTTAATGCATAAATTTTAGCACCTAAGTGTTATAAATGTAAATAACTTAAGAATTGTATGATATATATGTAAATTTTCATTTCTTTTCCTATTTTTTTAAGGTGGTTTGTACTATATGGAATGAAATATACATTCATTTGAACTATAAGTGCTATTTTTTTGCAATAATGAAAAAAACTATGTTGAGATGAAAAATAGATGTAATACATATGACAAAAAAATTTGCAACGGGTGTTACTTCATTGTGTTGTAGCCTTGTAAAGTTATGAAGAGGATTTATATCATTTGTATAATGTACTAGTGGAAAAACCGCACTATCTAAAGGGATAATACGATTTTAATTTAATGTTATATAAAATGTTTAATAATGTTATTATTGAATATGATTTTTTTTCTATGATTTTTTTTCTATTTTTAAGCAATAAATCAAGGAATAATTACCTTAAAATCTTTCGAAAAAAAAACTCCCACGAAGGAAATAGGAAGTAGAACATGTTGCACATGCATTTTATCATTGCCTCATGGGCTAAGTTTTGCATGTTACAACCATTCAAATCCGAAAATTGATAATTTGAATTGCAAGACATCAAAATCAGAGGTAGATGTTGAGAAACTAGTAAAAGTGAAAATCTGCCTGTGAGACAAAGAATCAAACATCTGAACTCGGTAACCCTTCCAAACTCCTCTCTCGGAAAGGGGAAAGGTGCAGGTAGTCTTCTTCCTCTTGTGAACATTTTGCAAAACAGTGAAAAGTTAGAATGTTATTAATAATGATAATAACAGAGTATCAAAATTGGGGAAACCTTCTTAGGATTAAACAAAGCGAGAGCTTCGTTAGGTTTTTTATGCCCTTATGTCAATTTGTAAGGCAAAAAAATGCAAAAGCCTAAGCCAACAAAAATCTACCAAGTCCTGCAAACTGAATTAGACTTTGCACACAAGTAAAAGCCAACAAACTAAACTGAACTTTATACAAAAAGTACTAGACCACAAATTAAACTAGGCTTTTGCATTAAAGTAAGTCCACACAGTAAATTGAACAAGAATGAAGCTTGTAAGTTCAGTTCAAAATAAGTGATATCAAGGTCCAACTTATTCTAATCTAGGTATACATCTTTGAAGTGAATCAAACTCCTACTCAAAGTTTAAGCTTAACCAAGGCCTTTTTATCTGGAGCAACCTGTGGATATGTCACAAAACCACATGCTTTAATCGCTTTAAAATAACAGTCAGATCATTGAGGACAGCCAGCAACTGAACTTATTGTTCATTACGGTGCAAGACTTTATAGCAATGGTGTACTCTAAGCATAGATCCACCTTATTCTGCTCTGGATATTTTCAATAAGATAACTCATTGCTGCCAATTAGCTTTCCTAGAAAGTTATAACATGAAGACCCTGGCTTTTGATGAATGTGGATCACAAGATTGACCCAGGAGTTAGATCATCGGATCATGATTAGGTTATCCCATGGATGCATAACTCATTAAATTTTCCATTGAGTTACTTCATCATGTCATCTTTGAAAAGGATTCAAAGTCCACACAAAAAAGTATGGCATTACAAATTTCAATAGGAGCAGAGCGATATTCACATGGTGGTTGATTAATTTATCCATCAAATAGCATGGTGAAAACTTCTATGAACCAATAGAAACATCATGTAAGCTATAAAGAATGTCAGATCAAACGTGCAGTCTTGCCCTTTTTGAAGCTCCAACTAATACAAAATTTGGGAAGCTGTTAAAAATGCTATCATATAAACCTTACATAGTTCTACAAGATTCAGCTTTGGGTATAAATTTGGTTTCTAATGCTATTATGTACTACAAAAGCAAAACTATTGAAATCTATTAACATGAAACATATTCAGAAGTTTGGAATGTGTGGTACTTCGTTGTGGTATTGTTGGCTGCCAATTTGAGACAAGGCGGATTGTCTCATGATAGGTGGATTTATGAAATTGTCTGGCTGCAATAAGTGCGTCGACGATAAAATTTGAAAATACGAATAATACACTCTTTGATGTTTGTATGTAACATCCAAAGTTTGATATTTACACTGTAATACCTTGGTGTCATAAATTTACGCATGCAAAAGTGTATTTCACTCTTAAAAAGATAATGTTGGCTATATTTTTTATGAGATGTTAAAGATTTGAGTGGTAGGCATCTAAATATGAATGTTTAGGCGTTGGATAAATTAATGCATGAAAATTGTGTGGTATGTATGTAAATGCCCCTTTTCTTTTTTATATTCTGCACGAGTGCGAGTGAGCAGATTGTATACTTTACCTGATTGGCAAAGTCTATTTTTGATTTGCATTTAAAATGCCATGTCTTTTTAGTTGTCTTGTCGACGATAAAATTTGAAAATACCAATAATACACTCTTTGATTTTTGTATTGGATTTTTTTTTTTGTTAAATGTAAATTAGACGAGAAACTCGAGGATGTGGAATTCAGCTTTTAATTATGCATGAGACCGTGGAATTCCAAGCGATGCTGTGTTTTGGCAGTTGCAAATTGCTTTCAACTGCAGTTTTTGTTTGTTTTAGTATATTTTGTTCATAAGTATTCTTAGGTATAAAAACCTTCGTTGTAGGAGCGTCATCCTTTCAAGACATGCTATTGTTGGGCTGGCAGCTGGAGAATCTCCACTTCGCTCATCTGTGATGTTATTCTGCTTGAGTTTTTTTATTTTGGGAAATTTACATAAATACTACCCCATTCTTATGTATGTACATATGTAACATCCAAAGTTTGATATTTACACTGTAATACCTTGGTGTCATAAATTTACGCATGCAAAAGTGTATTTCACTCTTAAAAAGATAATGTTGGCTATATTTTTTATGAGATGTTAAAGATTTGAGTGGTAGGCATCTAAATATGAATGTTTAGGCGTTGGATAAATTAATGCATGAAAATTGTGTTGTATGTATGTAAATGCCCCTTTTCTTTTTTATATTCTGCACGAGTGCGAGTGAGCAGATTGTATGCTTTACCTGATTGGCAAAGTCTATTTTTGATTTTCATTTAAAATGCAATGTCTTTCTAGTTGTCTTGGTTCTATGTCTACTTTTTAAAAGTTGATCAAATTGGGATTTCGATTTGTAATAAAAAAATGAAAAAAATCAGCAACTTATACACAAAGCTTCTATGAAAGCAATCCACTAATTTCAATATGACTGAAAATGTGCACTTCACTCCCTCTATAATAAAATAATCAGCAATTAGAAGGAGCTGCCTTGCATAACTTGGCCAATAAGCGTAGGAAAAGAGTCTGACAATCAGAACCTAGAAATCATTTTGCACCTAAGAAAAGAAACAATCGTCCATCAAGCCTTAACCAGTGACCAAAAGCCCCACAACAACATCTATCACTGAATCTATGAAGCCTTTTACTTATTCGAACTCTTTTGGTTAGAATCGAGCAAGTAATAGTGTACTACATAGCACTAGGACAATCCATCCCTACACATGACTTCAGCAACACAAAAGCTACAGCCAATCCCTTGCTGTGATGAATGGCTGAACTCAATATTTTTGCGGAAAGTAGTTGCCCAAATATAATTATGATGAAGGTTTGAAGCGTAAAGCATGCAAAAAATTGTCTCGAACAGATGCTTTGAGCATTCGGCAAGATGAAGAGATCCGGCTTAATGCCTGACTTGTGCTGCATTTGAAACATTTTCAATGCTACCATTCTATTTTCCTAACTAGGGGAACTGTCCTTTGCAATGTTTATTAATCGTGCGTTGACACGTCATTTCATGTGATCAAGCTAACTATCTTAATTCCATCAAAAAACCTCATCATTCATTGGGTCTCCCTGAGGTAAGGTAAGACTCCATGATTAAAGTTTTGGGTGTTAAAAATGTAAATATGAATTTTTAGATGTTGGATATGTGAAATTGATATGATTGGGGTGGTATGTATGTAAATCTCCCATTTTTTTTAGTCTGACTATTCTTTAGTCTCTTTTTGTCTGGATGAGTTTTTGTAATCTTTAGATTAACTCTAATCAATTAAGTGTTTCATTAGTTTGTAATTTTTGTATTTAACCTGAAACATAGATCTAATTATTATTTGAGTAAAATTTAGCTTGGCTCAAATAACTAAAAATTTATCCAAAATTTATCTTATTTTCATTCAGATTTCAAATAGGTGAGATCAAATCAAATTAAATTAATTAAGCTCAATTTATAAACCATTTTTATATTCTTGAATATAAACAACGTTATCTTAAATTTAAAGACTAAGGGCCCGTTTGATGCAGCTTATAAGTGCGGAGCGTTTTTTAAAATACGCGGTACCGTTTGGATTGCGCGTTTTGTACGCTTATCCGAAAATATGATTCCATGTTTACACTAAACGCAAGCCGCGGGTGAAACCCCGCAATCGACCCGCGGGCTGCATTTCAAGATAAGCTGTTTATCGTGAAACACACAAGCTGCCCCAAACACACCCTAAGTTTCATACACTCAAACTAATTTTTTTAGAATTATCAAATCTTCTTCTATATTAGATTTCAACAGCATAATTTCATAAATAAGATCAAAATCATAAGAACGAACCTAGAAACATACATGACTATAAAGAACCTCCTAGATAATTTATAATTCAATAAAAAGGTTATTCATGTTATTTAAACTTTAGAGAGCATATGATAATTTTAAACGAATGGATTTCTTTTAAAAATAAAAATAATAAATACATCTAAATAATGATATTTCATAAACAAAAAATAATTCCAAATTCGCTGAAATACCTGAACATGGTATCAATTCATCATCAGAAACAAAGACTATAATAAAGATATACTCGACATTTTTTAAACGAACAACAATACAGAATAGCAATTCAAATCTTGCACCATCATACAGAAAGAAAGGAAAATTTGTAGCGAATGAAAAGAACAATGAATGAAGTTCAAAGACATCAACTTTAAAGATACAACAAATAAATACAGAGCAAATCTTTCTTGCTACCTGTAGCTCAAGCTAAACTCATCGTTTGCCTGAAAGCAACAAAATCTGCATTAATTCAAGAAAGTGGGGCATTTACACAGTCATACCACCCAATTCCTATGTATTTACATATCTAACACCCAAGCTTTACTTCTTACATTTATACCAACAAATCCTTCATATCACATCGAAAATAAACTATTTTTTACGTATGTAAAAGTTGAAGTTTAGGTGTTATATATGTAAATACATGGAAGTTAAGTGGTATGCACGTAAATCTTCCTAAATTTTTAGATCATGAGGGAAATATCAAAGTATAAGGATGGAGACATACATATTTTGCAAGCTCCCTGGCTTTGGCATCATCAAAGCCTAGGGAAGCAAGTATTTTGTGGCCTGCTGAATCCTTCTCTGCCATATACCGAGAAGCATATGGGTTGTGGTAATCTCGCCACCCTCACCTGCATATTGATTCCAGGAAGCTGGAAAAAGTGTTACTAACTGAAGTGAACAGAGAAAGCCCCAACATCAATAAGAATTGAGCTAATATGTTTGGGAAAGTTTACATACATACCACACAATTCAATGGATATGAATATGCATGAAACACAGGTGTTCAAACTCCCACTAACAGTCTAACAGTATATAAAAACAACCTGCAGATAAAATAACAATATGCAACTCCTCCAAAAAGCTCCAAAAACACCAAAATACAGAATACCAAAATGCAGTCACCTGTACAATTGAAACCAACATTGAAATGAAATAAATTTACCATGTGTTCAATCATGGAGCATTTAAAGAAATGTTCAACGCAGGTGTTCAAACTCCCACTAACAGATTCTCATTCAACAAAGCAGCGGTTGCCCATAAGGAGGACCATCCAAGCTGCAAACACACATTTCCAGCCCATAAGGAGGATCATCCACTAACAGATTCTCATTCAGCAAAGCAGCGGATGCCCAACAGATTCATGCACCAAATTACACTTTGCTACCAAAGCATTATGGTAAAAAAAAA